GGAGCAGTAAAAATGTTTTAATCTTAAATTTCAATATTTTTTTTTCTGATAAGGAAGTGCTTTGGAGGATTAAAAAAAATATTAGAAAAATCGGTAATTTTTTTGTAAAACCAGTTTTTGACCAAATTGATTTTGTTAGCCTTAGATATTCGACCAAATATTTATATTACCAGTTCCTATACATGGAATCGTTTTAAAAATACTTTTGACTCTTTTCCAGCCATTTATTAACGTTTAACGTTTGATTTTTTCGATTTTGTTTTAGTTTTAATTTTATAAATAATAATAAAAACGTATTCTCCTTGAAAAACCTAGAAATTATAATAAAGGGTCCTCATTATATTGTTAATACAGGAATTAAAAAAAAATCTATAGTTTACTGTTAATCAACAGCATTTTTTTAAATATCTTTTAACGTTAGAATTTCGTTTATTTATCAATATTTACGAATCGTATGGCTTATACATTTAATTTCAAATTTGAAGTGTGTATCAAAGATTTCCTTCCCTACTCCAAACAGTCAACCGAAGTTAATTAAGTGCAATCTCTTTGTCGGAAATTGTTTTTGTATAGGTTACCTATAAGTAAACCCATAGTCCATACCCTTCGCCCTTTGGTGGTCTGTAATTGCCACAATTTAAAATATCACAAAAACATTGAAATAAATGATGTACAATAATATAGTAATGATGATATTAAATGCAAACATTTTTTTTTTTACCCATTTGAATTTCACTCGGCTAAACTATATTTCATGACACGAGAAAATATTTTTAAAAGACTTGACAGCTTGTGATTAAAAAAAAAAAAAAAAAACAGAAAATTATATCATGGTGCGGTTTTTTGCGTTTCATTAACTCGACGTTATTCTGACGTTACAACTACATCAAACCTACATATATCTTCATTCTCTAGAGACCCGTTAATATATTGTACGCTACAACTTAGCATTGTTTTAAACTATTCAATTTAACGTTTTCACCCTCACAGTTGAAAATTGGCATTGGTGGAAACTTCGACCGGAAACATTAAATATTTGGTTTTTGAACAATGTGATTATTTTTGATTTAATAATAATTACGAGACTAAATTATTTTCTATTTTTAGGCGTACTATCGGTCATCATTTTAGATGTTTTTGTTAATAAAACAAAAAAACCGGGAAACTCGTTTCTGCTGCATTGTATGTTTCGAGTAGGTATTCATTGAGTGGATTACTGTAATTATTGATGTGTTAAATTTGAATTCAATGATGAATACCATTGTACACTGAAATATGATTCTGAACCAAGGAGATTGATACTAGATCATCTTCTACTTTAAGGACAATATAGGTATATGTATATAATATATATATTATATTATGAGTGTCTTATTAATTCGATGTGCAAAAACTAATTGTTTACACTAAAAACGAATTATAGATCCACCCTTGAAAGGTATGAAAGATATTTGAGGTAAAACAAAAAAAGCTTAACGATTAGAAATATTAAATATTAAAAAAAGTTATCTTTTAAATACTTGTGATAAAATAATTTTTTTTTAAAAACTCCAAATGTCTGAAAAAAAAATCAAAAAAAATCGAAAATAAATTATGATAACTATATCGTGTTTACAAAATGTTAATATAAATATTTTGTGATTATGAGAAGCCCATAAGATTATTTTTCCTTCCTGAATTACACGATATTCCTACTTTTTTAATTATATTAAAATAACTTAACTAAGAAGTCTACGGTGTCAATATCTGAACTTCAGTACAAATATACCAAAAAATATGTATATTTTGTATTATTGATATTTTTGAATTAATGACAGAAAAACTTATAAGGAAGTTTATATTACATTTTAAAGTAGGTATTAGATACTACTTAAAATTACAAATTTTATTCATTTTTCATCACGAAATAATTTGCAGATTCTCGTGATCATAACGAATTTTGTCAACATTTTAACTTCAAACACAAAATAAAAATGGTAAAAATGAAAAAAAGTATAAAATTAAAAATGTCTATTAATACCACAAAAAGAGCCGAAATGTTTTTTAAATTAAGTTTTTTTTTTTAGGTTATTTTTAAAAGTATTAGGAATATTTTACTTTCCATACAAGTACAAAGTGCCAACTAACCAGATTCATTTTTTACCTTCTAGAAAAAAACACACACATATTATTGTAGAACCGATACATTCATCTCTCAGCTCAGCTTCTAAAATAATAGAAAGTATTTCGTATGACTCTGACGTGTACGTTTTCATGATGTATGGTACGACTGAATGACTGATTTTCACACATTTTTAAATTTGAATGTTATTTCACACTATCTATAAGCGATTTATTAGAAATTAAATTCTTAAGGAATTTCCTATATATTGTAATTATCTACTAATTATTCTTCGTTTAACGTTAAGTGTTAAGTGAATTATTATTATAATACTTATGCTACATGTATTCCTAAAGCACTGTATTAGTAATATAATGTTTCGACCTGTTATGGATGATTCATTATTTTTATTTCATAGCATTTTTGGTTTACCCAAATTAAAGAAAGAAAAAAAGTGTTTGTTCTCGTTTTTCTTAAAAAATCCTTGTACCTAATTTTTAGCGTTAATTTATGTAAATATTTTAAAAGTTTAAATACTTATTACCATTAAGTATTCAAATGGTTGTGTACATTTTAAAGTTTTAGTGAGAGGCGGATACAGGGGTATCCATGTATACTATTTTATAGGCGGGAGGCATGTACAAGGACAAACACAATGAGACACTCTATATTTTATAATAGGCATATAACAATATAAATTGTTTAGAGTTAAATTTCACTGACCAGTGAGTTAGAAATCGGGATTTTATCAATTTCGTATTGGTAAAACGGCCAACCATCCCTAATGTACCTGGATTGTAAATTGTAATGACCTAATTCAATTATCAATTCAATTCGTTTCAATAAGTTATAATTATTTATGTATTATGCTATATGTATTTAAGTACCTAAAGAGTGTTCCATTTAACTGGCTAAACTAACAATCTCAGTTAAATGTTTCTATGTCAATAGTTAATTTTTAGCAAGTTTAGTATATTTAAAATGTTATTGTTGTTTGAATATTTATTTTTTATTTATTGTTGGTCATTTTTGTAGGTTTCTTGATTGAGCTTCTGAACGGACATTCTTAATTTTGGTTTATGGAAAAAAAAATATGAGCATCAGCTATATAAAAAGATAAACCTAGGTAAATGTTATAAATAAACTGTTGTAAAAACGTCGAAGAAAATGAATAGCATTTTTTTTTTATTAAATAACATAATATATTAGAGGAGAATGAGAATTTAATCAGTAATTAGAATAATAAAATATCGATATTTTTGTTTTGGACTATAGGCTCTATTGTCTTAACTTGAAATGTTTATCATTTGCCTGATATCTGAAACTATTTCATATCACATACATTGGAAAATGAAACATTCATTTCACAATTGAATGATATCGAGTCATGTTGATTTCTACAAAGCTTTTCGATATATTAATATGCTAAAAGGTAGTATTAAAACGTATGACTGTTCAACGTTATTCGTATTTTAATGGCTTATGTGGCTGTTAGGAGTACCTATCGTCAAAATTCTAATTTTGATGGTGCCATCAAATGGAATCGAGTTGAGTTGAAATTGTGTTCTGTTAATACTTCAATATTTCCTATTGTCATCAAACATAACAGCCATTTTGCCTTTGGGTCGTAGTTGCATTTTCATTGTTATTACTACCTACGGCATTATTACTATAAATTCCATTTATCTCGGAACACCTCATTAACACAATGCTGACCCAATTATTAATGCATCTTGTAATAATTCCATATCTAGCTGGATTTGTTTTATCTCGACATGAATTTCTTTCTCTCTCTTCCTTATTGTTATTATCACGTAGTTATATGACTTATTGTAATATTTTATTATTTTCATTGCGGATCATTTCATGCTCATTTTTCTTTGTGAACTATTGTCTATTTTAAAGCATTGGCATTATCTAAGAATTTATTATTTTTATTTCTTATAGAATCCGATATTAATATGATACATTCTTTTAAATGCATTATCAGTATCAATAAAAATGTATACAAGAATATATTTATTTAATAAAACTATAATTTTTTTTTTATGATGATGAAATAATAATATTGACAATTTTATCCTCAGATTTTATTTCATCGACTGCCTATTGTTTACTTTTACTTCGAAGATACTACTAATTAAAACACATTTTTTTTTTCCGAAATAAAATGATTTTCAAATCTATTATGTTTGTTAATTACACAATATCCTTTTACAGATATAGAGCTTATCACTAAATATATAATATTTACTCTAAAAATAATAACATAGTGAATGCGGAATCTTTTTTAAACACATACAGGCAATATATTTAAATTGTGCTCTACAAATAGGTACATTAAAGCACTAAATATTAAGATTATTGTTCTTATATTTGCAATTTGATTTATTTTAATGAATATCATCAGGTACAAAATTAAATTGTAATATTAAAATCTACGCCACAGTTGAATAATTTAAATATAAATATTACTTTTTGATATAAAATATTTTTTATAACATATTATGAGTCATATATTTGAAGACTATTATGTTTTCAACTCAACCATAAAAACTTATTGTAATCGAATTTTTCACTCAACTTTGAAAATTCATCATTTCTGTTAACATGCAAGTATTTTTATTAAGAGTAAAAAGTTATTTTTCAATTTTATGGTTATTAAGTTTAAAATCAAAATTATTAAATATACAACCTACGATATATTTTTAGTTCTAAATATTTTTTAATAAATTCTTATTAATTATAAATTTTAGTAGTACCTTATACTTCTAGAAAATTAAATTTGAAAATGTAATGATTGAGAAATTGAGAAATTTTGATAAATCAGTCAACACTGACAATAATAAAACATTTTTTTATAAATAACTTTTTATAACAAAATATGAAAAAAACTTACTTTACGAGACCATGTGATTGTCGGTGGTGGGTTTCCTGTCGAATTACATTGAAGAGTCACATCTGACCCTTTTTTAGCGCTCACTTTTCCATTTGATGTTATACCAATGATCCTGGGCGGAACTAAAAAAAAAAATCAAATAAATGAACACAGGTACACGAAGTAGCTACTAAAAAGTATACCTTTAACAAAAATGATTTGTATCGGGAGTTGATTTTATTCTATTTACATTTATTATTGTTTATTTTTTTTTCAGATGTCTTATGATATTTGTAATGATGAAAACGCATTTACCACTAATAAATGTTTCAACGACTTTATATATAAATTAATCGTTTAAATATTTGCATATCTTAATAAATTGTTAGTTTCGTTTGACGAAATTCAAATGATATTTTAAAATTTAAATTATCGTGAAGGTATCATGGTGAGACTAAATCATTGAGATCAGTGAGCAATAATAAACAAATTCAATCTTTATCAACCATAGTATATGATAGAACAAAGGTACCTATCTAATAAGTTTTTACACTAAACAGTTTGTTTTTAACACTTTCTAATAATATTGATGTCCATAGCAATCATCATCTTGAACTTAACATCATTTTTGAGTAAGCTATTGGTCGATTTATCGTAACACATAGACAAGTTTCAAATGTTATCAGTAAAAAAACGTCTTTGATTGGTTATTGAATTATTTCTTAATTAAAACGAGGTTTTTGTTTTTATCGGTGGAATTTATATTACCTAATATCGAGAAGTCACATTTTTATATAAATGTATCGTTGATAGGTTTTCGATAATACTAACAAAACTCATGTGCGGTATTACACCATCTATACAATTCGAAAAAATATTATATTTAAAGAGAAAATTAATGATGGTAAACATAGATAGCTTTTGAAAATAACCTTCTTCCAATAAACAAATGTTTTTATTTTTATCAAAACAATGCATGATCAAATGCAGGTATAATGTACATTAAATTTGCTTAAAGTTAGATAAACATGAAAAACCATTTATTTAATCATTATTTTTTTTATATAAAAAAACTTTTATTACGTAGGTACAAATGAAAAGTTTTATTTTAATTTTTTTAAAAATTAGTTTAATATTGTTCATAACATTTGGTTAATGACACGAACTACTTATTAACTTACGCCAAATTTAAATGTTTATAATGTTTTTTTAACGTCACGGTATCAAATGTAATTTATTCTTTGATAATTTATTATTTCTTCCTTGATCTCAATGACAAGTCAGTGCTATCTTAACGGCTAATCTTAAAATAATTTATGTTGTATACGCACATTATACAAAATAAAATGAATCCAATCATATTTATTTTCCAGAAAAGGTAATGATTTTAATGACGTTCTAATGTTTAGTAGTTCAATGTCTTGCATTTTGAACCATTATGTTAATAACAATAGTAAATGAAGATGTATATTTCCACTCTAAAGGCGTAATGAAAACAACCTTAGTTTGTATAGTGAGCCTTTTAAAGTTTATTGCACATATTTTGTTTGCTCATATCTACAGTTCTTGTAAAGAAGCAACATTTACAAAAATCTGCACTGTGCCTATGTATATTTAAATACGATATACCTTTACGACTGCAATCCAAGCCTCAAACGCATTTGAATCCTTACTTAAGTTCAAAGTATTGATATTTATATATTATATAATATCTCAGTGCTAGAAGTTTTCAAATATTGTCTATATGGATCACGAACGTCTAATAGCTCAATTATAGTTATTTTTTAAAAATTTTATACTTCTACGGTCAAATCATTTATGTAAATAAAAATTATTTACATTCTACATATCTTACAACCATAAAAGTTGTATAATATATAGTATATATATATTATATTATATTATACTTTATAGGAAGGTACTTTTCGTTGTGTAGTCATTCATATAAGTTAATTATTTTAACGTAATCTTTTGTAATTGAAGAAATTTACATATTACCTATTATTATATTTTTTAAAAGTTTAAAAAAATTCTATTTTACATTTGTCTAACTGTTATCAAATTTTAAAATTGTTATTCATTATATTCTCCAAGATATTACCACTTTCACGATAACATAATATTATATTTCTTATATTTTATATTTCTGACCCGTAGTCTGAAGATATATTGTAAATATAAAAGTATATATTTAGCTATAGCTTTTTTCTCGTTTTTTTTTTCGTACAGTTCTGTAGCTTACTTTTAAATTTAATCATAAAAATTTAGTATCTATTGTGCCACTAACATACAATATCAACGATTTGAGTAAAAATAACAAGGTATACGTAAAGTATACTTTAATGGATAAATTCTTCCTCGAATATGTTACATATTACTGTACAGCATACAAATTTATACGTATATACTACATTTATGTATAATATCTTCTCATTTATTTAACATTGGAAAAATTGAATGTATTGAAATATCATATTTTAATTATAAAAAAGTAAAGGTTTGGTGACAGCCATGGGCGTAAATGGTGTTTGAAATTTGGGGGGGGGGGGCTGTAGATCGGGTTTATACTTGATACTCTTATGATGCTTTTAAATTATAGTTATGAAATCATTACTTAGGGGGGGCTATAGAAATTCTTGGGAGGGTTAAACACCCACAGCCCTCTCCCCTATTTGAACCTATGGTGACAGCTAAAGTTTAAGTTTTTAATATATATAGGTACCGTCTGAGGCTAGATATTTTGATATACATTTAAATTTGAACTAGGTAGGTACATAAAAACTATCTTCATTCTTGGAATTTTTTTTTCTCAAAATTCAATCTAAGAGGAACCTTGTATTATATTTTCAAGTTTTTTGACAAAGCTCATCATGACTCAAAATATATTAAAATGAAAACTTAAACATCCAGTAATAATTCCCTTTTTTCCTTCATTTTTTTTTGTTTTTCAATGCGCTTTTGAAAACTACTGGGAATTTTAAATTTTGACCTCTTCAACCATTTTGAACCAACAAGATTCACTATCCCACTGGAAATGATACTGAAGTTGAAAGTAGAATAATTATTTTGACTACTTATCGTGTAACACACACAAATAAAAAACACACATCACTGTAAAATCAGTATACACTATAATATCAATGCATACATTCATTGCTCCTTTCAGAGTCTAAAAATATAATATGTGTTAGTTATTTGCATGAATATATAATATTATGTAGTTATAAACGTCATGGTACAATGTAATCTTGGATTAAAATATCAAGTCTTAATTACTAAAGTTATAAATTGCACATTTAACTGTTATATTTACATAGAACACAATTCGTTGGGCATCATAGAAACTACTTATTACTTTAAGTGTGGATGTGATGAATTATTTAAGTCTACTTTATGGTTAACAGTAATATTGTTACTTAAATGTGTTAGAAAAAGTTGTTATGTAATTGTTTTAATTAATAATAATTGTACTATTTGCTGTAACGTACCTACAGTATTATATTAGAGTTTTCTGTCCTTTATCGTAAAGTATTATAAGTAATTTAATTAGCTGAGAATTCGTCTAAAATGTGCGTGTCTCGCATTTTAATATTATTATATTTTCATAAGAGTCAACCACTGACTGGAACAGTGATCACAGTTGCGGTATACCTACACATAATATTGATGGCCAATGTCTAACCACAGTGTTGTTATCTTAGAGACAAAGAAAATAACTTCGATGTAGTATTATTGAAGAAGAATTAGCTCACTCAAAATCGATTACAATTTTATAGCCACGCAGATAATACGTTTTGGCTGATTAAACTTATAATGACATATTGGCATACACAATCATTAATGTGTTTGCAAGCCCTACATTTAAAACAAATAATATAATATGATATATTATATTATATTTATTTTATTAATATTTAATTATTATTATATAATTTTGTATATTGCAGATTACAGTAAGAATATCGTATATGAGATATCGGAATCCCTCAAAACTGGGGGCTCCTCTGAACTACACACCCAGCACTCCCAATAATTGGGTCACTGCATTCAAATGCATACAAATAATACTAACAACTCCATCGCTGTGTTACTAACTGAAGGTATATACATAATTTCGTTTCATGTTGTAGAATTCTACACTTAAAATGTGATGTATTATCAACGGTTATATCTATATTATAAAAACAAGGAGATGATCATATATTACTGGATCAGTCTTAATATTGATAACTAATATAATATAAACCATTTGAAACTTGTCTTCAATTATTTCGATTCACGATTAATAATAATAAATATTTTACAAGATAACCGCTTCAAAAAATGAATACCAATATAAGTGGCAACAAATATTTTATATAGGAAGGTACCTCGTAGCTAAGATTATTTGTTGGTTATAAAAGTTCTAAGTGGAATCGGTAGTTTTCATTATTATATATTATAATACTATACTGTGACTGGCCATTATTATTAAATTATTGGTAACTCACATTTTAACTACCTACTGTAATATAACTCGAATAAAAGTTCACTACCGATTAGTTAATATCAAGCGATTATAATATGACAGTAAGTAGTAGGTATAAAAAGTGACTTTAGTTTTATCATTATAATAGAATTTTATCGTAATTTTATGATTATTATATTATTGTTATGGTTTATAATTTATAAGACGGTGAATAAATTCGCATACTGAACAGTGTCTCCTGCATAATCGTTATCTTGAGTTAACTAATATTTCGAGAGAAAACCTGCATTTTGAGGTTGAAATCATGTAGGTACGCAGTCGTTATTGTCACTTCAGTTGAGACAATGTGTCTTAACTGTTAGGCGAATCGATTTCGAATATGTCAAACAATGGATGACATTGGTATTCGCCCAAATCACTACGAGAGCGACCGTTATACTCACAACGGATTATTATCAGTGCTGAGTGACGAAGAACGAAGACTTGGTGGTGAGATTTCGGTGAACTATGAAAACCAAGATATTGGGCAAACGTATTCATTTTATATATTTTTGTTTCGTTATTATTATTATTTGTTATGCTATTATTTCGGAGACCATTCGTTAATTTAATGTTGTGAAAATATTTTATGTTTTTCATTGAGTCAGTTAGGACCAACAACAACAACAACAAAAA